GATAGAAAAATGAAGAAAGAGATAGAAATCAGTCGAGAGAGAGAGAGAGAGAGAGAGAGAGAGAGAGAGAGAGAGAGAGTGGGAAGTGGTCGAACGAGAAATGCGAAAACATAATCGCGACATGATTGCAGGTCATGGGTAGGTGATTTAGACACCATCGATCTGTCTACGAAGAAGATCAGAAGTGTCGATGACGCCTCGGCTGCATTCGAATCAAGGATACGAAGGGTGGTGCACTAACACGAGAGTATAGTAGGACTGGTTTCCTATTGAAACCTCTTCATCGTCACACACATAAACGTGGCGTATGGATTTGGAAGAGCAATGGTAGGGGTAACTGTAGCGAGCGAAAATTCGTTGGTAAATATGCACGCCCACCTTTTCGATTCTCCTCGTCTCTACACACCTATCTCTACCATCACCTTCCCCGTTCTACCCTCATTCTTCTTCTCTACCCTCCTCTACCCCCCGTTGTAAACCCTCGATTCACGTTCGATCCCAGCTTCACGATAAAATAACAGAATAATCCCCGAGTATATCGACGTTGCTTCGCCACCGCCGCTGGCACATTCAATTCTACGGAATCTCGTATCATCTGATATACACTTAATCCCTAGAGTGAAACAGTGACTACGCCACCAATTCCGTCGAGGGAGAGAAAACCCGACCGACTTGCCTGCGAAAGCGAATCTGCTTTTGCTGAGCGCGCGCGTTCATGCAAGAAAGAGAAAGAGAGAAAGAGAAAGGATGTAAGAACGAAAGAGATGGAACAGATGATGGAAATGAAGAGCGAAAGAGAGAGAGAGAGAGAGAAGGTCGAGGAGTCAGGAGTCGGCGAATGAGGAAGAGGAAGGACAAACGGAGAGGCGGGCTTGGAAAACGGGAATGAAGACAGCAAGAGAGAGAGAGAGAGAGAGAGAGAGAGAGGTCGTCCAATAACAGTCACCCTCGTATTTTCTCTCATCCGAAGTCGAAGGAAACCTATGTCGATGAAACGGAATCTCAAGCCGGTGCCGAGAGCTGATATTTGCACCGACGATATTCTCCAAGACTGTTTAACGATAGTAGCGTCGGGTAAGCTATATAGTAGATGGTATAGGTGGTGCATTATATCAAACGATACCAGTCATCGTCTGCTTCCCCTTGACTTTAACCAATGTTAGACCATGAGCATTGATACACTCCTGATATCACTTTTTCTTTCTTTCTTTCTTTCTTTATTTCCTTCTCATTCTTCTTTTTTTTTTTCTCTCTCTCTCTCTCTTTTGATATGCATAGATACAACCACGATACAACATTGAATTTTTTTATTCATTTTTCCTCGTCACCAACGCAAGCTTTCATGAATCACGAATTTACATGCATCGTATCCATCCACATGGTGCGTCTAGCTTTTGCAAATCAACTTCCTCTCGCGTATATGATTCTTCTTCATAAAATTCATCGACGCTCTTGTTTCACGATCATGACGCCTATACAAACGCGATGAATATTTTACCTAGTCTGATCCGTCTTAAATTTTTGACATTTTCCAAGATTAATGTAATAATTTTCTTATAAATGTTAAGAAGATATGGCGCATAGTACAGTGTGCCTCGAAATTATCTATTTAAAATGTATAATAAAGTGATACTATTGGAGAATAATTATTGATCAAATGAATTATCTATCAAAGTATTAATTGTCCATATCTTATATATCATTGTGAAAGAAATTGATCTATATAATAAATCAATTACACGAACAGTTTTGTAGGTTTGTCAGAATTTTTGGGACACCCCGTACATGTCTCATAGGAATTTCAAATGGTATCTAGCAACGACGATAATGGATCGGATATTAGCGATCGATTCGATGATGGAAAATCATGGTTGCGCGTCGTTTACGCTCTAAGAAAATTTTCGCAGGATCAACGAAAAGACGCAAGATGGATTGGTTGCATCGAGAAGCTCTCGATAGAGTGGTAAAATGATGCTCGTCACGCGAGAAAGTTTGATAAGTGTGAAAAGCTTGGTAGTTTTTTTTCTCTCTCTCTCTCTCTCTCTCTATTTCGTTTCTTCTTTTCCTATTTGTGGCGCCATTTGTGTGTGAGTAAGGATAAAAATCAAAAAAGAGGATTAAGATTAGATGTCAAACGTGGCATTCACAAACGATCATCTCAATCGGACGGATGGTGGTGAGCGTCTTCCGATTAGGCCAATTGTAAGGAATTAGTGCGTGCCACTTTGATTTTGATCGGGTATCGATATGGGAAGCCGTAATATTCTGTGTCTACACAGTTTGGGATCAGTTTAAGCGCCTTAAACACACAGTGTGATGCTTATGTATATAAGAGTATTTGAATCAATCAGTCGATTGACTACCCTGCCGAGATTCCGTAATCATTTTACGTCGATCTATCTTCGAAAGATTGATTTATTATATTCTGTTACACGAGTAGAATTCGTTTTTAGAAAAATTTACATATTTTTGTTAATTAAGATCGGTACAGGATCGCTAATAAAGTATGGACCGCTAATAAACCTTTACATGTTCGGCACCATTAATAAGAATTTCGAAACTATATGTGTATATAACTCCATTGGTATGTTATTTGGAGGATGCACGTTCGAAAAAAGAAAAAAAATATTACAGGTTGACCAGTATGTGGCGGTGACGTAAAGAAAAAGAGGCCAATTTAAATCACATAAGCCGCTACCGCTGCAAGACAAAACTCCTTGATTAGACACATCAATAATCATTTATCGTACGGACCGTAGAGAGAAATAATAAAAATCAGTCAACCGTAGGTGGTCTCTGTTCTTCCACTGTTCTTTCTCTTTATTTCTATCCTTTTTTTCAACGCAACGCATTCCGATTTGATTTTCGGTCAGTGGTTCATCTCACTTGCTCTGATCCTGTTTAAAAAACAAACCGACCCATGGACTCGTGTTGCCATTGACAAGAAGATCCTGCCGTGCTGCAATCTCAACGAATAATGACCGGTCGTTCGTTCGCGAGATAGAAAGAGAAGAAACCGAAAGGAGATTTCTTACCCTTCCTATACTACGTGCTCGTGCCCTTGCTTCGAAGTCTGACGTGGTTCGTCTTATTATTTATGCATTTATTCAATTGTATTTGAATAATTGGCCACCCGACAGCAGGAGAAGCAAATAAACGGACTTTCGCTATGCGGCGTACGATATGATTATAGGGTAAGGGGATCCTTTGCGTATAAATCAGAGCAAACAATGCAATGCATGTTTATCAGGCGGCAAGCGTGTAGGTAAATAAGCGAGACAGCTACCTTCCACCGACGTTATCCGAGTTTCGCGATAATTAACTCCGTGTAGAGGGCTTGATGAATATCGGCATTTCGTTAGATTCGATGTCAATTTAACCTAAATATTTATCAACTTATTTCTGATGATCCGTTTTTTATTATTTGTCATTAGCCATTGCATACACAAATGTTTTATTCATTAATAATTATTTTTTATATTTCCACAACACATTTTAATTCTTGTTTCTTTTATTTATATCGATGTTTAATTCGAGAGTAAACAAAATTCCAATCTCGTCGATCGTAGACACATATATATACACATACATAGATACATATTATAAATACATTGGAATAGCTAGGATTGTACTCTTTGCCCTTGATATGCATCCAAGGGTGGAGTACAATGCACTTTCATAAGACTACGATAAGGAAGCTTCGAGGCGGTCGAGAGACGTTCGTGCATTAATGTAATGTTAGAGTTGGTGCGCAACTCTTGCAGGTACATAGAGGGAGATGGAGAAAGGGAAAGAGAGAGAGAGAACAAGCATCAGGCTGTAACACGGAACTTCTCTTCGAAGAATATGTACAACCTGGCAAGCTCTTACCATAGCTACTACTGAATTAATCGAAATCGTTCTAAGGAATAAGTTATCGTGGCTACCGTGCATGCCACTTTGCCTTCCAGCTATACTCACAATCAGTACTTATGTGTAAAAGTGAGAAAGGAGTAAAAGAGAGAATGGGTGTAAGGGTGTATAATGTTCTTACCAGAAGAGTGAGATGTTATTGGTTGATATCTTCATGACAAAAATAGCTTCTTACTAAACGCCTCGTTGATCAGCCTCTGGGTCTTTTAGTATTAATCTTTTATAATTTCAAGTAGTGTGTGTGTGTGTGTACAACATACAGGACGTCATATTATATCGATCTTATGAATTAATGATTAAGCTTCTTATAAATTTTCTGAGAACATACTCGTGTTATAATTTGAAAATTTATTTTAAAAATTTATATCGAAAGACAAAAATGATTTGACTTCTTATTCGCGAATCATTAGTTATCTCGATAACACTTATCCAATTTCGTTCCAGTGTGGGAGCTTTAATTTCGAAGAAGGAAATTGGTCGGCGTTGCCCGAATGATAGTGTACTCTGTTCCAATTATCAGGAACACCGTCGTCTTATGGTACCTTAGAAAATTGTACGTTTCACAATTGAGAAGATTTCGGAATTCGAAATCTATTATAATTTCGTAAGGCGATGAGAGAAAAGAGAGGGAAGTAGAGAAGTGGTCGGTAGTTAGGTGTAGGTCAATAAATCAAACAGGTTTCATTATTCCGAGATCGTTACGCCTCGACAGTGAGCGTGGCAAGTTGAAGGGTAGGGGCTTACCGTTCTTACAACAAGAGGAAGAAGACGCGTCGCGTGGCGCACGACGAATGGTAGGAGAGTATTCCCGTCCCTTTCTTACTAGGGATACACAACAGTCTTTCTCTCTCTTCTGTCCTAAAGGTATCTTTGTTGCTCCACACGTTTCTTCTCTCTCAACGACACCCGTACGACTTGTGATCCCTCCCTCACTCCCTCTTTATCTCGTTCACGTTCTCCCTCTCTTATATACGCACCATCCTCGGACTGGCTAGCGTACCTACGGCTCGTGCGAGTTCGGTAATGTCCGTATGCGTTCGGGTATGTTCGCTGGGGCAGCGGCGCGCGCCTCGTGTCTCGCGAAACGTATCGTTCAGTATGCACCGTACAGTTGCCGCGTTGGGAGTATATGATCTTCCGTGCTGCGAAAATCGGTTATCTATGAACACGAGAATGCATTGAGATAAATAAAAATAAGAATAATATAATAATTTATCATTGAATGTGGTACATATTCTATATAATATTAAAACGAATTGATGCGATTCGAGATAAATAAAAGCTAGTGTCGCATCGAAAGAAAGCTTTTTTACTCGTATTTTTCATTCGATATCTTCTATTTAATTTTACTATATTTAGTGAAACGTATGCATATGATCGTCATCTTCGTTAAAAGAATATTGAAGGATACGACGTTAGCTTTTTGGTTGGACCCTTGAAGGGTCGCAAAGTGGTGCCGATTAGGCGGTGACGTTTTAAAGAGCTGTCACGTATTTTTTAATTATCGTTATTAACTCTTCAGGGATGACGATTTTTGGTGACCAACGTAACGTTAGATCGTAACGATCGAATCAGGGGGGGTGGCACAGTGGAAGGAATAGCTCGCGAAGGAAAACAAAAGATAAAGAGAATACGAGAGAGAGGAAAGAGGAAAGAGGAAAGATAATTGTTATGGACACCAACGCGACGAACGAGCTAATTTGTATCATTCAAGGAGGCGGGAAGCTGTTGGTACAAGAAACGAACGACACGCGGCCTGGAAAAATCGATCGGCTTGAGTTTTCAACAAGTTGTAAATTGAGAAACCGCCATTTGTACGATTCGTGAGAAGTTATGCGGTGAATAAGTGTCGCGAGTGAGTCTCGCGGTCGAGACGGGATTCAAACGTGTTCTTTTCCTTTCATTTCCAGTTATTCTCGTTTTTTTCGTACAATAACGAGGACACGATAAGCTTTTGATCGTGACTTTAGTAAAGAAGAATTGATCGAGTTATCGAGTGATTCAAGAAAATATTCTTGGAAGGTTGATTCTTAAACATTTCGTCGAGAGATTCTCAAGTGAGTGATCCGTGCTACTGTAGAACTACTGCTCTGCTTACAAGTCGACGAGTGATTCGTGTGTGTACCATAACATCCTTACCAGCTAACTCAATTGGATTGGATTGCTTAATTGATCAGGTATTTTTTTATTGTAATAATCTATCCGTTAAAACAATTGATTTGTAAATAAGCTAGACAGTTTTAATAATAGTTACGAAGAAATAGGAACGATCAGTAAGAACAGTAACAAATGGACTATACGATTCATCAATATGACTATCTTTTCTTATGATAATATAAGTTTTGTAATTATTAAGAGGCTCATGGTTCGGAAAACGTGTCATGTAGCAATAAATCGTGGCTTGCTTCCTGTTTGGATAATGAACCAGGAACCTGCTGTTACGAACGTCTGGTCTCGTTAAGGTGCATTAGAACGCGTTATAATACATCGCATTATCTCTCGAGCTTAATGATCCGTGCTTGGTTATATTGAAATAGAATTAATATACTAAAACATATCTATTGTCACAGGAATGATTTCTCAATATGTTTAGAGATATTGATATTGTTGATTTGCGAACCAATCTTGAATGAATTCCGAAACGAATACTCGCTCGTTGATGTTACGATGAGATTTTGAATTAAAACAAAAAAAAGGCGGCAAACCTTTCTCTCTCTTAAGTGTGAAAACGAGCAACGCGATTGGTTCGTTTGACGTATGACACGATGAGCGCGACTCGAATTTTCGCGCTTCGCTGGCTAACCCAGGTCCTCTGTGGGAAAAAATAAAATAAAAAAATATACATACATATATATATATATAAAAAAAAGAAATATTTGCCGGTTCGTTAGTCTTCATTATCATCGAGTCATTAGGTTCTAACCGCAAGTATATGTATACATATACGCCTTTTATAAAACCACGGAACATCGTTGGTCGAGTCGAGATAATTGAAGCGTCACCGATCCTCGGGTGCGCAAAATTCGCATCGTTTCGATGTTAATCAGCGGCGCGAAAATGTTTACATCGAAAATATGTTTGAGTGTATGTGTGTGTGTGTGTGTGTGTGTGTGTAATAATTCAATAATAAACTTCTCTTGTGCGTATATAATATATATATATATATACGTACATATATAATATTAACGTGAATTATGCAACTCCGTTTGTTCTGTTTGTTTCTTTAGATATAGAATATAGGATTCATATAGAATTGAGTTATAAGAAAATTATAAGTATTACTTTCCGACGCGTGTTTTTCTTTTTTTTTTTCTTTATGTATGCGTGTATACATATATATATATATATGTTGACGAAAAAAATTATAATTATTATGTATTCTTGTGAAAGAAGTCGGTCGACGCTAGTTTGTAGCTTATGAAACTTGTACTTTCCTAAGGATCGGCTAAAGTCCTTTAAGATTCAGAGTGGCATGAACTTCCGCCGCTGAATTTTGATTACTTTATTATTTGTTTAACAGAGGAGAGAGATGGGAAGAGAGAAAGAAAGAGAGAGAGAGAGAAAGGGAAAAAGGATAAAAAAAAAAGTAATATGTTGGTCTCTATATACATAGATACAACAATTTTTCCCTATGGGATAAAAACGTCTTTTTCTCGTGGCACAAATTTCTTACATTTATAACTAAATTATTTCGAGAGAGAGAGAGAGAGAGAGAGAGAGAGAGAGAGAGAGAGAGAGAGAGAGAGAGATAGATAGATAGATAGATAGATAGATAAAGAAAAGAGATTGCGCGAAAAAGTCGTTGAATTATTCGTGTTCAGAAGGTTGTAGTTGGTATCCAGATGAACCTGAGACTTGGAATAGCGGATTAACGTTGAGGGAAAGTTTCCATGTTCTAAGTGATTTTGGGTTTACAACTTCCAAGGTCCCGGATCCAGCAATTTTCATTGATGTCAGCCAGTTTTGTACGACAAAGCGCTTCCCGTCGACGTAACACGAACCGTTCGGTCATTACTAATGAGATACTAATGAGGTACAAGGATAGCTTTTTGGGACACATCATCATTTTATTAATAGATAATAATAATAATAATAATAATCGAGGTTAACAAATTTTGATGAGGTATATTAGATGAAAGAAAATCATTTTTTTTTCTTTTTCTCTCTCTCTCTCTCTCTCTCTCTCTCTCTCTTCTTATCGATTTTCTCTAGCTTATAATTGGATTGAATATTTTCTTACACGCATACATTCTTGAACACATGCATATATATATATCTATTATGTATGCATAGGATCGATATATCTAAAGACGTGCAAAAATCGATTCTATATATATATAAACTCGTATTCGAAGAATTATTTTCTTTTTAAATAACTTAACCCAATTTACTGCGAACAAATGTATCGTTAATATATTTGAAGCTCTCCGAGAGCGATTTAGTAATAGGATTCTCTCTTGAAAGATCGGACCGTTTGTTAGGAGAAGCCGACTTCAAAGAGTAATTCTACGAAGCGAATAGGGGTTTGGGGCCATACGAAACTCGTTCAAGAAGATGACTACTCACGCGATGTGCTTTCGGATGTATACTATAGGATAATTCCTATGGTCAAGATCGCGTTTTAACAATTTAAATTAGCCTCTTGTCACTCTTTAACCAGTTATTTTCATGGATTTCGTGAACCCGTGAATGTTCCTTTCAAACGTCTAAGAAAAATCATGTAAACAATTTTAGGACGTTTTTAGATACGAGTAAAAAGTAGTCTGTTTATTTGTTTTTTTTTTTTAAATAAATGATAGCTTATCTATATTAAAGAAAATTTCTTGACAAGTAGTAAACTTTTCCTCTCTTCAAGAGAATTTGTTCATAATTTTGTTAAAAACGAAGACAGTTATTTTCTATAATTCGTTAACTTGCTCGAGGATAGAAAGAAACAACTATGAAAGTTATATTGTAAAGTTTTTTTATTTATTTTTGTATTATTTTTTTTAGATAAATGTTAGTATATTTAATCGTAAATGAGAAGAATTTGTTGATACAAGATTACAATATTATGGTGTTTTAAATGCGATTAAATAGGGGATTTTTTGTTTATAATAATTGGTATAATATTTAAGTAATAAACATTTTTGGACATGTCGCATATTTCACCGAAAAGAATTTTTTAATTTTCTTTTGAAAGAAGAAAGAGACATCTTATATAACGCTATTGAAAACAACGTGATGCAACGGAATATTGAGTTTCAAGTTACTGCTGGAAAAGCACAGAAATATTTTATTAATATAAATCATCGATTATAATATTCTATAAGGATCTCGTTCTTCATCTATATTATCTTCTTCCTTTTTTTCCATCTTCTTTTTCTTCTTCTTTTTTTTGACTTTTTCCTTGATTACTTTTTCTTTCTTTTTTTGTTTACTATTGCATCTCGCTGTAACGAGAAGGAAGTAGACGGGGAGATGGTGCTTTTTAATAATTTATTGAGAAAATGGAATGTGTAATACCTCTAGCAACTACTTTTAAATGAGAATCGAGAGAAATACTCAACTTAACGTAGAACTTGAAATAAATTATATCCTACGTACGTTGATTTTGTAACATTATATTCTCTCTGTCTTTCTATTTTTCTTTTCATTTCTTGCAATAAACAAAATAATACTTACTGTATCCAAATAATATTCTGAGTAAGCTTGCATTTGCGTGTTGTAACAAAGTACATATGTAATGCATTAGCATATATACTAAGTATACCCAGTTATATTCACGTAACTATGTCAACATATTCTACGAGTTAAAATAAAGAAAAAAATGTTCAGCTTTATCGTAGGTTCAAAAAAAAAGGATTCTTTAAAAAGTTTTAACAAAAATATTAAATAATAATATAATACTTTGCATTTTTTGGAATTGTGTACCAAAAACAAATTAATCATATTTATCTATGTTAATTTCATTCCAAAACATTATCCTTAGAAATACAGAACTGATATTCATTTAAAATTGAATTGGTTGATTTACTTTTACAGACTAAATCAATTTATTAATATTTAATATTTTCTTTCCTACTTTTTAAGAAAATCATTTTTTTGCTCATATCTATATATGATATTCTTTAACTTTTACTTATAGAATGGAAAAGAATGAGGATTATTTTATACGTAATACACATACACATATATCGATGTATCTCTGTATTACAAGTCGTATAATGATGTGACATTTGCATTTGAAAAAAATGATTTTTTCATATTAAGATAATATTCTCTCTCTCTCTCTCTCTCTCTCTCTCTCTCTCTCTCTCTCAATCTCTTTATGTTGCCTGTTACTAAGGAAAAGAGAGTCTAGGTAAAAGCTGGCACTGGAAAGAATTGAATGGATCTGTTTCCAAGGAATAACAATCGGTATATTACCTAGAAACGTTTCTTTGAAGGCACTTTCGTAAAAATCTTGGCGTGTCTCTTGGAAAGCTATTTTCAAAGCTATAGGTACATTCGGTTTATCATCATCGATTTTGCATTTTTCTCTCTCTCTTGTTCTTCCTTTCTTTCATTCTCTATTTTATCTTTATCTCTCATTCAGTCAGAATCTAGAAAATATCTACGTTACTTTGCTTAAAACCTTTCTTCGATAGCCTCATCGTTGAATCTCATCATTCTCTTTTTTTTCTCTTTACTTTCTTTTTCTTTTTTTTTTTATCTATTTTTTACTGTTTCCCTTTTAAGAGATAAGTAACTACCACTTTTAAAAACGATTGAAAACAAACCAGTTTAATATTTGACTCGTTATAATATTATATTTATTAATATATATGAGTTTCAAAGGGAAATTGAAGACAGTTAATAAATTTGATGAACAATTTATTTGACCCTTGTTGAACGTTTCGTCCCTTACTGGGGACTTCCTCAGCAATTACAAATTTTTTTAATTATGACTTGTTAAAAAGATATATAAACATTACAATAAATAAACTTTAATTTTTTACCTCGATCACTTAGTTCACGCGTCAATAGATATTATTTTATTTTCAGAGTCATACATTACAATAAATTATAGTATAATTAATCCTAAACAACCTTATCTCGTCACACGTAATCATATACTGAATTTTATCTAGATTAGTGTTTAATAATCTAGGTATCTTTCGTATTATGATGTCATCTATCAGTGTGTCTTGTTATG